CGGAGGCAAGAGGCCAGGCACTGGTGTGGGGAGTGAGGGGTGGGAAGGGTTGCGGCGGTGGAAGGAGAGAGCTCTCAGTGTCTGGACATGGATGGGGGATCCGACCTCCCTGTTGCTGCCGCCCAAAGCCAGAGGGGCGCAGTGTGGCCACTCCCGGGCTCTGACTCCCTGAACATCGGCTCAGCCATGGTGCAGGAGGCCCCTGAGAGGGGGCTGGAAGGCTGTCCTGCTGTGTGTGCCTCCCCCGAAGCTGCTCTAGCACACGCAATTATAAGACAGTGGGCAGATGACAGAGTTAGTTAATGTAACAAGCCCTTTAAGCATTTAGCCACATTCGAGTGTTTAATCAGCTGTGTAAAGTGCAATATCTATCTTTCAATTTTATGCCATTAGGGGAGACAAGATTTTGATTAGGTACTTAATCTGTGCACGGAAAAAACAGGCCCACAGCAAGCCCGTGATGGGGAGGGAAGGGGACATTGGGCGCGGGATTCGATAAAGGGGAAAGACAGAAATTTAACATAAAAGAGAATTAGTGCGGCTCCTTTCAATTTAGTGCCCAGGCTTTATGGCCTAATCAATTAGAGGCCTGGCCAGGGCTGCTGGGAAGCCGCTCGGCTGGGCTGGAGGCTTGGCCATATTAATTCCCTTCATTATGTGGGGGTCAGGCGGAGGGCTTTGCGGGGGCCCTGCAAGGAATGGGTCACTTCTCGGGCATCAGTTCAGGAAGCAGGGAAAAGATAGAAGGGTGCCAGTCTAGATAGGAGTGGTTCTGGGGGCCATGGGGAGGCTGGGCTACCACAGGGGTGGGTCTAGGTGGCCCCTTGGAGGGTGTCAGTCCACAGAGCAGTGGAGAGCAGTGGCTTAGCCCTCCGGGTCTAGAGTAAGAGAGGCCTAGGTTTGCACGCTGGCTTTGACCTACTGGCTGTGTGATCTTGGCACATTGAAATTTCCTATAGAACTGCAGCTAAAGCTACCCCAAAATGTGGCCACCAAGAGAAAAAGAAAAAGTGGTCTGCAAAGAACTTGGCATAGTGTGTGGCATTGAGTGGAGGTACAATAGCTGTTGTTATCACAATTATTATCTTTATTTCTGATCTTCTATGTGTTGCTGAAGGTCAATTATAATAGAGGCACCCACTTTAACCGTCTCCCTACATTTACTCAGTGCTTACTCTGGGCACCGGGCATCGAGCTAGGTGCTGTCTCTGCTATGATCAGTCATTTCTTTAGGCTGGTGCTGTTACCTGCAGAAGGGGGAAACTGAGGCACAGTGAGATTAAACAGTTTGCCCAATGTCACACAGTATTGGAGGCTCCAGAATCAGCTCTTAGGCCTTCCCTGGCAGGGGGGGAAGGGGGTCATCCCCTGCCCCATGGCAGAGTGATGTGGTGCTGAAGTCCATGGAGGCGGAGGTCACTGGGAGAAAGCTGGCATCTTTAGACGTCCTCAGAGGACTCTGGATCTCAATAAATCACATTCACACACAAATAAATCACAATAGAGTTCCTGAGGAAACTCTAGAAATGTACCCAAGGCTGGGCCAGTGGTCTTCCCAGAAGACTCAGGAAAGGAGTTGCTATGATATAGGTTTTCTGAGAGGTGAAGAGATGCGGGGAAAAGACGGAAATGAGCACTTGGCTTCTCCTTTTTGTCCCACTGCATCCCCAGATGTCTGAGCAGGACCCGAGGGCCTGGAGAACCCAGCTTGAAACTGCCGGTGCTGGCAGGGAGCTACCTATGTGGTCTGGTGAGGTTCTCTAGTGGGTTATGGAAGGAAGGCTCTTGGAGAAGCAGGGACCATTGGGACCAACAGGTGTGTTCACTGAAGGGAGTGTTCTTCTTCAACAGATACGGGGGGAGGGGAGGGAGCAAGCCAAGACTTATTGGACCCTTGGTGGCTGACTTCTTGCTTCACAGCTATGAGACTTTGGGTATGTTAGTCAATCTTTCTCTGCTAGTTTTCTCAGCTGTACGCCAGGGGTGATCACAGTTCCGGCCTCACAGGTTGGCTGTGAGCATTGGGAGGCACCGAGAACTTTACAGAACTATATGACCAGGTATTTGATAAATATTAGCCATTATTGCCTCTGGCTGTTCTCTTGGCACTTTCTACGTGCCAGGCCCAGTCCTGGGGACTCTCTGAGCTCAGTCTCATGGAATCCCTATGTCTTTGGTGTGGATTGCTGGTACAGCACACAGGCAAGAAGTTTAAATTCAGTGAGATTAAGTGACTTGTCTGAGGTCATAGAGCTGTTAGACAATAGGGATGAAACCACATTTTTGACTTCCCGTGGCTTCTAAAGGCCCTTCTGGAACACAGTGCTGCGTTGACAGGCAAACGGCATGGCCAAGTGAATCTAAATTCCAGCAGGATGTTAGGGAAGTAAGTTCACTCAATATATATTTGTTGAGAACCTATTATGTGCCATGCACAACAAGCCCCGTGAAGTCAGGAATTGCATCTGTGGTGAGCACTCCTATTGTGTAATCCCATAACATATGTTTAACATACATTTATGTACCAAAGGAACGAGTGAACAAATGAATGTTCCTAAGCCAGATCCTTAGTATCCTTGAGGGGAAAGTGGAGAAATGTGAGGGATATGATCCTCCTGTTAGATGAAGTCATCATCATCTGAGTGGGAAGCAACGTAATAGAGGGGAAAGAAAGGACAAACTCCGGGTTGGAACTTTCATTCTGAGTTGCTTTCATTTACCATAGTACACTAGGTGATCAGCAAATGTAGGTCAAATGACTAAATAAGTGCCAGATGAGTGACAGAGATGACCTTGCTGTCCTGTGATGGATGGACACAGATGGACAGGACAGGGTCTACTGTGTGACAATGACAGGCCTTCCAAAGCTCTCATCAAGGGGTAGTGACAGCTTGAGTCTTCCAGAATAAAATTTTGGGTAAAATTTTATTTTGGTAACTGTCCTGAGAGCCAGTTACCAAACACAAGGCTGATAGAGAAAGACAATATGCCTTGGTCTCTTTTAATGTTATTGTCATTTGGAACACAGGTCAGCACCATTTTTTTGTAAAATGCCACATTTGTAAAATGTGACAAACATTAGTTTTGGAGGACCCCACAGTTTTTGTTGCAACTACTCGACGGCATCACTATAAAGTAAAAGTAGTTGTAGACACCATGTAAGCAAATGAGCGTGGCCGTGTTTCAATAAAACTTTATTTATAAAAAGCATCAGCCCATGGATGTGGTCAGTTTCTATTTCAGAAGGCATATCCCTGGGAAGTAATCTTCCTATGTGCAGGTTCATGTTCATTTTATGAATGTCGATTCTCAGGAACTGTTGTCCCTAATTTATAGAGGAGAAGCCTGAGTTGTAGGCAGGCAGAGAGTCTGCGATAGAGCTGGTCTAGGCAGGCAGTTGTTCCAGACATGGCAAAAAATATCGGCTACTGCTTATGGAACCCTTCTTAGATGTTGCACACTTACTATGCATCATTCCGTGAAGCATTCTCAGCAACCCGGGGACGTAGCGCCTATGATGTTTTGCCCAAAGGACTACTTGAATAAACTGAGGCTCAAGGAGGTTAAGTGACTCGCTTATGGTCACCTGCCTAATGACTTAACACTTATTTATTTAAGAAGACTTACTGAGCATCTACTCTCTCCTAGACACTTTCATGCGGCTGGGGATACAGTGGACCCCTGTGCATCCTGTGCTTATGTTGTATTTGGGGAAGGTAGATGATAAACGTGCTCAGGGAATAAACAATATAGGATGCCAGAAGGGGATAAGGGCCTGTCAGTCAGGACAGGTTCAAAGCAACAAACCTTCATGACTTAAAACAAGGTTCAGCAAACCATGGTCCATGGTCCAAATCCGGCCCGTCTCGGGTTCACTCAGGCCCCCCTGTCCCTGCCTACTTTTCTGTTCCACTCGCAGGGCCAAGCAGTGGCAACAGAAACCATCTGGCTCTTAAAGCCCCAAAAGCTATGTGACTCTTTTCTGAAACCAACCAAGGTTTGTCGCTAGCTCGGGCTTTGTGTCCTTGCGGGTTGCCCCTGAAGAAGCTGCTCATCCGTCATTCCAGGACCCAGGTCTGTGGGCTGCCCACCATCTTGACTGTTTGTAAGGAAGAGAAGAATTCTGAAGAGTATCCTGTGGATGGTGACAGGCCTGACCCAGAAGTGACATGTGTCATATCTGCTCAGAATTTATCAGCCCCGCCCAGTGGAAGGGCCCCAGCTTGGCTGCAGGCTGGGGTGATGGAGAGGGCCAAAGCCACTCGGTGAGCTGCTGTGATGACCCCAAGCACTCTGGGAAATGAGCAGTCGGGGTAAGTTGCTGGGGATGCCAGGGCCTTTGTACTTTGTACCTAATGCAGCCAGGGAGGGCATGGAGGAGAGCTCAGCTGGGGTTCGAGCTCTGTTCACCTTGAAAGAATGCCCTTTCAACCTCTCTGCTATGCTCCTGCACTCGTAGAAATTAGGTGCTGGGAAGGACACTGCATGGTCAAATAAGGGGAGATTCTCCCCTGTGAACTCCTGCAGGGGTCCCACCAGCTCTGTCCCCAATGCCCTTACTGCAGCCTGGCATTTGTGCCTCTCCCAGGTCACACTCCACAGCGGTACAGCCAGACAGACTTGCTGGCCAGCCCTGGAAGAGATGGGCCAGGGAGGAGGGCGCAAGGCCTATTCTGTGAGGCTGTGACTTCACGAGGCACTACATTAACGTTATTAATAACCCTCTCAGCCTTTATTGAAAAGATGCTCTCTGCGTCTGAATTTGCCACTATGGCAACCCATTTATTAAGGCTGTAAGAGCTGGAGTTGCTTCAGACCATATTTATTGCCATGATTTGCTGAGGGAAGGCTTTGGTCCCAGGGCTGGGGCAACTGGAGGAGAGTTTGTGTTGTTGCTTGCAGGGAAGGCCTGGGCTCACCTCGCCAGGTCAGTGAGAGATGTACTTTCTGTCTCTTCCACTTAGGTTATGATTCAAATTGCATGTGCGGAGTTTGGGGCTGACTGTAGTGATGACCACTTCCCTGTGTGTGCGGGATGCTAACCAGTGCACCTGATGTCCTCCCCAGGAGGATCCCAGTGGGGCAGGTGAGGCATGCATCCTTGGCCTTAATGCGTACGTGAAGACAGTAAGTAGGACTCAGAGTAGCCATCAGAGTCACCAGGGTCACAGAGCTAGTGGCCAAGTGGGCCATCGTGGTGGCCCCAGGGGCCCTGGGCTTGTTTTTCTATAAAAATCTGAACGAGTGCTCTTGGCTCTGTCTTTCTCTCTTGAGCATCAGAAAACAAAACATCATGCGGTGATAGCACCACCGCCACCACCCCCTAACTCACTAAGCATGGAGCTAAGAGATTGATTCAAAGAGTCATTAAGCTCTTTGAATCCTCACCACTTTCCCGTGTTGGTATTAGTACTGCCTTCATGTTGTAGGTGCACTGAGGTGACTTGTCTGAAGTCACACAGCAGGTCAGTGGCAGAGCTGGGACTCACGGCCACTCTGTCTGATTGCAGAGTGCGTGTTCCTGTCCCTGATGCCACACCACCTCCTTTCTTCCCTTTGCCCCATTTTCAGGGGCCAGAGGAGTGGCAAGCCCATGCACATGGATCTCTTCTTCTCCAGTAACTGTTCTTTGGGCCCAGGCTTTGCGTGTCTCCAACCCCTTCCTCTGGGATCTTCTCAACAGTACACTTGGCCAACTGGCTGGGATTTGGATCGTCTGCTAGGGCTGCAGAACCAAGTACCACAGAACGGGGAGCTTCAAAGACAGAAACTCTTTTTTATCACAGCTCTGGAGGCTGGAAGTCACAGATCAAGGTGTTGGCAGGGTTGGTTTCTTCTGGGGTCTCTCTCCTTGGGTGCAGGTAACCACCTTCTCTTCATATCTTCACGTGCTCCTCCCTTTGCGTGTATCTCTCCTAACTTCCCCTTCTTATGAGGATGCTGTTGTATGGGATTAGGACTAATGATGTCATTTATCCTTAATCAAGTCTTTAAAGACCCTCTCAACAGAGACGGTCACGCTCTGAGGAACTGGGGATGAGGATTTCAACATAGGAATTTTGAGCAAACACAATTCGGCCCCTACCAGGATTTAAGCAAGGTCAATTTCCTGGTTCCTGAAGTTCTCTGGGGTCAGCCTAGGTCACTGGAGTGGCTCTGTAATGGAGGTATCACTAGGAATGGGCTTCTGTTGTCACTGAGGGTGACCTATTGCCAAGACTCCCCTGCTGGAGTGCACTTTGGGACCACCCTTTCAGGCATGCTCCGGTGGCCCAGATCCCCAAGGCCTGGAGCTTTTGCTACCATGGTGGCTGCTTCCTTCACAGCCGTCCTGCTGTTGTCCATTTCAGATGAGCTAGAATCTTCCAGCCTTAGAAGCCTGCTCGTCCCACAGCAACATGGTTTTGCTTTTCATCTCCTTCAGCCCTTCCCACGACTAACTATATCCTTCCTTCTGTCCATCTGTATTTTTTTTCCTTCCGATTTCCTTCTCTCTTTCTCTCCCTTCTTCTCTTTTCCTTGCTCCTCCTTGTCTGTACACCTGCTCCATGCTGGACACAGCGGGGCTGCTGGGAAGACACCAAACATCTGTGGCAAGCGTCAATGCCAAGTGGGCACCTCTTTGAGGTAGACCCTGTCCTCATGCATATTTCCCAGTGACAGTGTCTCACAGAGCTATAGTATAGCGATCCATTGAAACCAGGAAACTGACATTGGTATGTTCCTATCAGCTACACTACAGACCTTATTTGCATTCCACCAACTGACATACCCGTGTCTGTATGTTGTGTGTAGTTCCAAATTAATGACTTTAAGTTTTGGAAGGTGTAAGACAGAAGAGTTTAGGAAACACTGTTGCCAAACTAGCCTCCTCCATCCAAGTACATAAGAGCTTCTGGGATGGAGGGAAAATTAGGGAGAAATCCTCAGATTTAGAGGTGAACGCTTTGCTCCAAAGAGGACAGCATAAAGCACATGGAAAGCTGTCACGGGGAATATGAACAGACGTTCGAATGAACGAGAAAGAGCTGCTAGCATTGCTTCGATTTTGCAATCAAGCTAACAGGACAGTTCAGTGCCCTGATGCATGCCAGCAGCAAGCAGGCTGAGGGAGCCAGGCGTCCTTCCCACCTTCTCCCCCCCGACTCTGCCTGCTGCTCTTGGCCTCTCTGTCTCCTACTCCTGGGGCTCTTAGGACAATAAGTACAAACCCATAAAGCTCCCTTCAGTGCATCTTGCTTACCCGCTCTTATCAGAACAGAGGAGAACTGAAAGGGCTTTCAAAAGAGCCATCTGTTAGTTTTCATAAAGACATTATCTGCTTCCCATCACAGGGCTTTTGCTGTCTCTGACATGTGTCTGCCCTCCCTCCGCTGTCTGCGAGAGCAGGAGCGCACTCTCCACTCCGTCTGCGCCTGGCTGCTGGAGGTAGGTTGCAGACAGAGTATTTATCTAAAAGTGAAGAGATCTGACTTATAAGCAAGCCCGATATTAAATGTATAAATAATGCATCCTGTGGCATTATTTATAATGCAATAACATCCCTATAATGTAATAAAAGTATGCAGGTTCCCAGCACTTTTCTTAACCCCTTCGTGTCTTGGAGGATGCCGCAGGTTGATTAGCCCCTGAGTCCTCCAGGACTTTGGAATGGGGTGCTATCTAGCAAGCCCTGTCTGCCACCCAGCTTCTGCCCAGCTGAGTCTTGGGACAACCCCCAGCAGGAGAAGCTTGGCCCCGTGGAGTAGTGATTTTCAAACTTTGCTGTGAGTCTGAGTGCAGGTTTCCCATCTTTAATCTACTGATCTGGAATCTTTAAGCACCGGGAGGGGGAATTTGTATGTTTAACCAGCTCTCTGGTAGATTCTAAGACAGGTAAATGAGCGCTTTTGGGTTAGCCCTGACTTGGAGCAGGATAGACCATTAAGCTTCCCAGCTCATCGCTCTGGGACTCAGAGTCATGTCAGCCTTTGAGGACTGTGGCGCTGGCCTTGTGCCTTGGTTCCAGGTCTTGTTTACCTGTCCAGCAGCCATGTCCTTCCTTCCACTGGCTGCCAGCTGTATGTCTGGGCCCATATGACCTCCTTGGTACCATCTGGCACCTACCTGATCATCTGAGTCTAACTGGTTCCTGTATCTCCTCGTTTATCCAATGGCAGAAAATTCTGGTAGACCACCAGAGACCAGTGATTGCTTGGTTGCTCGGGCTGGGTGCTTTGCAAATTCCTGGTCTCCAGCCTGTCCTGGGCTCTCCATGCTGCCCAGAAACCTGCCTCTCTGTCTCTCTCCTTTTCTCCCAAGTGTCCATGTCCTTGGTATCTGATGTCTTTCAGATGTCCAATCTCTTCTTTTTTTTTTTTTTAAGATTTTTATTTATTTATTTGACAGACAGATCACAAGTAGGCAGAGAGGCAGGCAGAGAGAGAGAGGATGAAGCAGGCTCCCCACTGAGCAGAGAGCCCAACGCGGGGCTCGATCCCAGGCCCCTGGGATCATGACCTGAGCCGAAGGCAGAGGCTTTAACCCACTGAGCCACCCAGGTGCCCCTGTCTAATCTCTTCTTCACCATGAACAGGCAACCTCATATACTGGGTCACTGAAAGACCAATTGCAATCGAGTCAGAGGAAGGATGTGCTGTGAACTTCCTGCCTGCCCACCTGTGAGCGTAGCTCTGCCTGCAGCCATGTGTCTTCCTGCCCTAGTAGAAGAGGTTGACTGCTTCCAACATGAGACTGATCCTCCCATTTAAGCTCTGGGAAACCCCAGGTTTCCCAGGTAACCCTCTCCATCAACTTGTCTCTGAATCTCCAAACGTTTTTCCTACTGATTTTCCAGCAGCTCCTAAACATGTTCAGCATCTTTCGGCCATCCACCCTCACTTTGTCCAGTGCTGCTTCTAGCTCCTACCCTGTCTCCTTCCCCATGTCAACCATATTTCCTAATAATTGTGCTGTGCCTACAGGGACTCTTGTCAGAAGAGTGACAATACATAGTGAATGTGCTAACTCGCTTAGTACTGGTAATCCTTGCAATAACCCGGGGATACATTAATACTGGGTGAGTCGACAGCTAATTAAAGCAGAGGGAAATTGGGTAATGTGTCCAGAGGCATGCGGTAATGTGGGATCTGGTCTCAGGCTTACTTCGGAGCATCTACCCTTGCTGACACTGTTCCTGCCCCCGCAGTGACTCCTCCACAATTTGGTCCCTTCTCCCAGGTCAGCTTGACCTCTGCTTTGTTACATCCAGTGGAAATTTTGGGACTTGATTTCACCTGGCAGAGTGCCAGATGGCATTGACCTCTGTGTGCAGTTTTGGAAATTCCCATTTTTCTTGATTCTTAGGGCCCCGCACTCTGTTCTCCTTTTACCTTTCGGGTCTCTTTTCAGTCACATTTTTAGGCTTCTTCTCTCTGGGCCCAAGACCTTCTATTTTGGGGAATGCCCCAAAGGTATATCCACCCTATGCATTGTCCCTGCTAGATCCCGAGAACCACCAAGTCTTGGTTCTGATCACTAGATAAGGTCTAGTCTATTGGCCTAATTCCTGAAACAGACATATTTCTCACTTAAGTGATTATTTGCCCAAGTCTGTCCCTCCCTTCCTCCTTCCCCACTTAGTCAATGGCTACCACCCAGTGGTTCATCCAGTTCCCTAGCTGAAACTCACATGGCATTTTGGTCTTTCTTTCTCTTTCCTGCATTATCTAACCAGTCTCTGGTCTCTCTCAATCTTACCTGCTAAATTGCCCCACTACCTCCTCAACTCTGTCCACTTCACACACAGCTCCTGAGACCATCTCAGTCTGTGTGCTCCTGTCACCTCCTCCCCATGTCCCTACAACTGATTCCTAATTGGCCTCCTGACTTGAATCTTGTGGCCTCTGATACATCTTTTCATTTTAAAAAATTATGAACTATTGGGGCACCTGGGTGGCTCAGTGGATTAAAGCCTCTGCCTTCGGCTCAGGTCATGATCCCAGGGTCCTGGGATCGAGCCCCACATCGGGCTCTCTGCTCGGCAGGAAGCCTGCTTCCTCCTCTCTCTCTGCCTGCCTCTCTGCCTACTTGTGATCTCTCTCTGTCAAATAAATAAATAAAATCTTTAAAAAAATTATGAACTATTTAATATAGAAAATGACAGACAATGACAGAACACACATCCATTTATCTACCACTGAGATTTAACAAACGTTAGTATTTTGCCATATTTGGATGAATTCGATGGAAGATAAGATGTTACAATACAGTTAAAGAAGTGGACACCCCGTTCTTTTCTCCTCCACCTTCTAACCCAGAGTTAATCATCCAACTGAAGTTGGTGTAGATTCTTTTCATGTTTTAAAAATTGACTTGTATAATCTGTATCTACCAGTGGCATAGTGTTTTGAATATTTAAAATTTATATAAATCATATCATATAATGTTGAAAAGTTTTAATGAATGTCATATCTTTGAGATGTATCAATGTTGATACACAGAGGTCTAAGTCCTCTGTTTGCTCTTCTTTTTTTACTTTTTAATTTTTTTATTACATTATGTTAGTCACCATACAGTGCATCATTCGTTTTTGATGTAGTGTTCCGTGATCCATTGTTTGCGTATAACACCCAGTGCTCCACGCAATTTGTGTCCTCCTTAATACCCATCACTGGGCTGACCCATCCCCCCCAACCCCTTCCTCTCTAAAACCCTCAGTTTGATTCCCAGAGTCCATAGTCTCTCAATGTTCATCTCCCCCTCTGATTTCCCCCCCTTCATTTTTCCCTTCCTTCTCCTAATGTCCTCCAGGCCATTCCTTATGTCCCACAAATAAGTGAAACCTTCTACACGGAACTATAGCTATATTCTGTCCTTTCCTTGTTCATTTCTCTGAACTTGGTTGTGTCCAGGGTTTCACTATTATAAAAAGTGCTGCAGGGGTGCCTGGGTGGCTCAGTGGGTTAAGCCTCTGCCTTCGGCTTGGGTCATGATCTCAGGGTCCTCAGCGGGGAGCCTGCTTCCCCCTCTCTCTCTGCTTGCCTCTCTGCCTACTTGTGATCTCTCTCTGTCAAATAAATAAATAAAATCTTTAAAAAAAAAAGTGCTGTAAAGAGTATCTATATTCACGGGTCCCTGCATGTTGTGTTTTTTTTCTCCTCTGCAAGGTGCAGATCTACAATGGGAATAACTGAGCCTTCTGGGGTAAGCATCTTTACCAGATACTGGCAGATTTTTTTCACAATGGTTATATCAACTTATACTTCCTCCAAGAGTTTATCAGAATTTTCATTTCCTCACATCCTTGCTGCAAACTCATAAATACTTAAAATACGAAGAGTGAGAAGTTGGTGCCTCATTGTTTTAATTTGTATTTCCCTGATTGCTAGCGATTTTGAGAATTTTTCACATTTGTCATTGGTGTTTTCTGTAAATTGCTGGTTCCTATCCTCACACATTTTTACATTGTTTGTATTGTTTGAATGACTTTTAAAATTAATTTTAGGAGTTCTTAAACATTCCATAAACCAATCCGTTGTTGGCTATGTGCTTCCCTTTTACTTTGTTTATGGTATCGTATGTTCTTCCAACGATTTACATTTTAAAATAGAACACTCTCCATCTTTCTTATTTTGGTTTGCGCTTTTTCATCTTGTTTGAAAAATCTCACTCTCAGGATGTTATAAAGGTATTTTTGCTATATTTTCTTCTGAAAGTTTGAGTTTTTATTTTTTTTACACTTAAGTTCTTCAATTTATTTGAAATTCATTTGTGTAAGTGGTATGCTGTGCGATTAAATTTTATTTTCCTTTTCATATAGAGAGCCAGTTGTACAGAGCCACGTTATAGGTTAGAGCACTTCTCCACTGATTTGTGATGTCAGTGCAGTCCTATACCCCCTTCCTTTATGTGGGGGTAAGCTTCAGGACTTTATCTTTGATGTGTTCATCCCTCCACCAGCACTGCATTTTTTAGTTGCTACGGCTCTGTAATTACTGTTTTTAAAAATTGAGATTATAATGAACACACCATAAAGTTCATCTTTTCAAAGTGTACTATTTGGTATCTTTTGTATATTCACAGATTTGTGCATCCATCAACAATCAATTTTAAGGAATTTTTTTTTTTTTAATCACCCTGGAAAAAACCCTTCTACTCTGTAAGTTATCACCTCCACATTCCACATCCCATCCAGCTCCCTTCCCACCCAGCCCTCGGCCAACACTAATCTACTTTCTGTTTATAGATTTACCTATTCTAGATATTTCATACATACGATGTAATGTTTTCAAGATTCATCCACTGCTTTTTGTGAGTAACATTCTATGGTATGGATATACCACAATTTATTTATCCATTTATTAGTCGATGGGCATTTGGGTTTTTTCACTTTTTGGCTATTACAGATAATGATATTACAAATGTTTGTGTACTATTTACATTTTTGAATGAATGCATGTTTTAAATACTCTTGACTGTATACCTAAGAGTGGAATTGCTGGGTCATATGGTATTCTATGTTTAACTTTTTGAGGAACAACAACATTATTTTTTAAATTGCTTGTACCATTTTACATTCCCTCCAGTAACATATGAGGATTTCAACTTTTCCACATCCTTATCAGTGTCCATGAATTTTCCTTTTCTTGATTATAGCCACCCTAGCAGATGAGAAGTGATCGCTCACTATGGTTTGGATTTGCATTTCTATGATGACTAATGAGGTTGAGTATTTTTTCACAGGCTTATTGGCTATTGTGTTTCTTCAGAGAAACCTGACTTCAAATGCTTTACTCATTTAAAAGCTGAGTCTTTTTATTATTGAGTTGTAAGAATAATTGCTATCTATATCTAGTAGGAGAAATTATTCCTTCTACCCTCATTCTCTTCCTTCTTTTCTTCCTTGTTCTTCAAAATTATTATGGCTATTCTTTGCTCTTTACTCATCTTTATGAATTTGGGATCAACTCATTGTATGTCACTATTCATGTTGGCAGATTTTTCACTGAATTTAGAGATTGATTGCTTCTGGAGAGAATTGCCAACAGGTTATTGTCTTCCCATCTATGAACATGGTATATCTCTCCGTTTGTTCAGATCTCCTTTTTGTCATTTTTGGACAGGTTTCAGCTGCAGTCCCTTATGGAGAAAGTCCCTGCTGTTCACTTATGCACATGACCTTGCAAAACCCTCAGTGTTGGGTCCATTTAGCAACACTTCCATTTTCCTTACACTATTTTCACAACTACTTTTCCTTCTCATGTGTTCTTTGATAGCTTCCTGTCCAGATTTTAGATCTTTAGGAAACTCCAAGAACTCTTAGACTCCTGAGCTGGGGAGAAGTGGAAAGGCAGTATCATCTTCTCTCTAGATGTTCCAGATTTTCAGGAAAAAGCCTGGATTGGAGCTTAGGATAGAGAAATTGATGGGTTAAAACTTGCCTTCAAAATGTCTTGGCATGCCTTGAAGGAGGCTAACCTATAAACAAATAATTATATCATTTTCAGATAAGTAACCATTTGGGTGTTGGTGAGAGACATTGCCTTCTGAAAGTTGAACACTGCTTCTGAGTTATAGGGAGGGATATAAAGTTATTGTGAAGAAAATCTCTGGGAAGAGGGATAAGAGTGTACCATTTTGTTAGGAAGATCTCAAGTGAAGGGATAACCAATGGCTTTGGAAAATGTTGCAAGCAGAAATTTGTGGTTTCACTAAGTCCATACTTCCGAGTATCTGAAATTAGAAAGCTATGAGGTAGGGGATGGACAAATATTCTCATAGGGCTGTGGAGCATCAGAAGGAGCAGAGTGGTTTGATTTTCCAGGTCCCACATGAGAACTGTGGTTGAATAAGATAGACAGGCAGATGTCAGTTGGGTAGGAAGGGCACAAAGGCAAAACAAAAGTAGGATGGTGGTGGGGAGCAGAACCTGGACTTGTGATGGGGACCTAGAATGCGTGATGGAGACTGAGAGCCTCTTCTGACCCATCATCCTCAGATGGACGTGCGTTGGGCATGATAACTGCCATGATAGCATCCTGCTTGCCACCAAGAAGGCTGCTTCTGGTGCCTTCTTTTTCTGAGAGTTGTTTTGCCTTTTGGTCCCTAGGTGGTGCACCTGAGTTCATGCTGCTCCACTCAGAAAAGAGCAGGATTAATTAATAGAACTGGGGGTTATCTGGGCCTGTGTGTGGTTCAGTCAGTTAAGTGTCTGCCTTCAGCTCTGGTCACGATCCCAGGACCCTGGGATCGAGCCCCGTGCCAGCTCCCTGCTCAGTGGGGAGCCTCCTTCTCCCTCTCCCTGTGCCTGCTGCTCTGCCTACTTGTTCTATCTCTGTCAAATAAATAAATAAAATATTAAAAAAAAAAAAAAAACAACTGGGAGTTATCAAAAAGCAGTGGTGCAGTGGTCCTGAAAGAGGAGAAGGACATCGTCAGAATACAGGATGCAGAGCTTAAGCTAGTGTTTAATCATAATAAAACCCCAAAATCCCAGAGGGGTGAAGCAGGTCCTATCAGCTACAGTGATAATAGGGAGGGTTGATAATACAATGATAATAGATAGGGTAAGGACATTAAGTTGTCACTCAGCACATATTAACTGAAAGTCTACTAGAAAGTGTTCTAGGTGCTGGGTATGCCCAGAACAGTCAACAGAGCAGAGCCCCTGCCAGCAGTCTAGTTGGAGAGATAGGCAGCAAACCAATAAACATGTTTGGGTGCAAAGTGCAGAGGAAGACAAAGAGAGGCTGTAGGGGTTGGGGTTTGCAAGAGGGAGCAAAAGCCCACCGTGCAGAGCCAGCCAGTAGGGCTGGGATAGAAAGAATGACCTGCTCAACCAGATGGACCAGTTGGCGGGGGCAGTGTGGGCAGCTGCCCCAGGGCTGTCAGAGGAGGGGTGGGGGGCCCACATCAGCGTGGAGTCAGTGGAGATGGAGGGAGAGAGGTAGGCTTCACTGAATTTGGTGACTGATTGAATGTAGGTGTGGGGACAAACGGAAGTCAACATCCCTGGCCTGGCCCCTGGTCTGGGTGACCATTCACATAGCCCGAGATGGCTCCCTGAGCCCCATGCAGGCATCCTCCTGACTCCAAAGTCATTTTTATTATTTTCCAGCGTGCAGAGTACCCAGAACTGAACGAATAAAGAGCAGCAGTTCTGCTTTAATGAGCAGAAAAGAGTAATTTGTAATTAGCATATACATTATTTGTACCTAACGAGTGCTTTCCAAAGTCCTTGTGGGGGTCGTTTGTCTTCCTAAGTATTTAAAACCCCCTCCTCCCAACCATCTTGTTTATGCTGTTTATTTGTACTGTTCCTAAAAATACACACGAGGACACACATGCACATTTGCACTCCCATTCACCTGCAGCCACGTGTCCACTGTCGGCAGCCAGAGGGGCACCCACAGGACCGTGCAGCCACTGCGTTCACTTATTCATAAGCGCAATCCGACACTCGTGTGTCAACGCAGGTGCACAACCTCACGTCTGCGTGTAAGTGTGTGCCTGAACCTATCTATACGTGGACCTTTCCTGGTCACATGCCCAGGAAGTATATATGCCCAGCCCATGTGCACTCGCATAGGAAGAACAAAGGAGGAAACATGCATCCATCAGTGTCCTGATACACGCATGGGGATGCGTACATGCATGCACAGGCACTCACCCCCAGGCTGCCAGGGCCCAGGGATTCCTCTCTTCAAGTAGTGATGACGTCAGGCCTTTATCATTTTGGCCTTGTGCAAAGAGTTGAGGTTCTGAGGCTCTGCCCTCTTGCTCACAGCGCCTTGCCTTGTACAGGCGGATCAGGTACCATTAAGTAATGCGACCTCCCAGTTAGGCTCCTGGCTACCTGGGCTCATGAAAGGTCTGGAGAAGACAGGTCCGACACACATCATACCTACAGACCTGCACAGGGAGGTCAGAGGTGGACTTATGCCTCCTGGGGCCAGGGCTCGGCTTGGGCAGTCAGCCCGAGGTAAGTAACACCACATTTTCTGCTCCCTCCCCCCCAGCAAAAACTGCACAGTGGTAAGGAAGAGCACCAACAAATCCGTCCTAAACACTGATCATGCTGTGGGATTTCACCCACGTTGACACATAGACTCCTTTGACCGGAATATTGAGGTCAACCTTATTATCCTTGTTTCGCAGTCACCGACCTAGGAGCTCAAAGGAACACCAGTATTTGTGCAAGGCCCTCCACAGGAAGGCTTGAGCCCAGATGAGTCTCTTGCAGGATTTGATCTCTGCTTCTCCTCGGCAAAGCTCCCCCTGCCCTGCTAGCCTTGCCCCGCACAGGGGAGGCTGGAGCAGGTAGGAGGGGATGACAGAGCTGCCCAAGGTTCTTGGTGCCTCTGACCTCCCACCAGGCATTCCCTGGAAGGCTGAAGAACAAAGAGGAGGTACTCTGTTCACCCACGGGCCAGAGACAGTCCTTCCTGGAGAAAACACAACTCATTTTTTCTGACCTTGATGTTTGATTTTGGTGGGGATCCAGCAAGGCAGCAGGTCAGGTCTTCCTTTGTCGGAAGATTGCAGTGGTTGGTCTCTGGTATCAGGGTCTGTCCTGGGTGCCAAGTTGCTAACTAAGATCAGGTAGATTGGGTCTGCAAAAACTCAACACTGAGATACTATCCCAAGTGAAAAGGGAAAGCACCAAACTTTTTTATGTTAGAAAATGCCACATTCCTTAAAAGTTGCTAAGTTGTGTGGCCGGTTACCTGCCAGTCTCTTATCCTGGGGCAGGCTCTGTGCTGGGACCTGGGGCAGGCTCTGTGCTGGGACCTGGGTGCTCGCTCCGCTGACAAAGGCCCCGAGCCCCTTTCGGCTCACATCATTGGGAACATTCTAAAGAAAAAACAAGTACAAACGTTCTTACTGCTATTCTGTCATTTGAGCTTTAAAATACCTTACAACGGAAGTAAAAATACTACAGTAAACAGTGACAACAGCTGGTTCATTGAACAGCTACTTTCAGCCGGTCCCACGATGGCCTCAATGTGCTCGATGTTTCACAAGCAATGGTCTATTCACTTCTCACTGGGAGTCTTTCAAGTTCTGGTCCGAGAACGGGCTATCATGGCTCTGGTTTTCCTGCTGAGAAATGATGGATCAGTGTGGTGATGTGCCCCGAGCAACATCTGCAGGTCCAGG